TATATATATTTGCACTTTAACCCATAAATATAGCATAAGTTAAATATCTATTTTATCATATATATATATATATATATATATATATGATAAAATAGAGTTTTAATTTTAAGGTATATATATATATATATATATATATGATAAGATAGGGTCTTAACTTTTAAGGTATATTATATTTATGGGTTAAAGTGCTCAATATCAGGGATCGAGCGTATGTAAATATGTAAGTGAACATTGAAGTCAACACCCAAAGACGACAATCTATTTCATGCTAAACAGAATCAACAGCCCAGTACGTTTTACGCCATATGCAATCGTTGGCCTGACTGTCGCCTGTGGATGTTGACTTGATGTTTTTGTGACCCGTTTCATCCGTTAGGACTTTGTGGGGTCAGTCTACCCGAGTTTTAGGAGGAAAACTAAAATCCGAGTATCGTGATCACAAATGCAACACATTTTTTTATACAACGCGAAGAAATGATCTTCACAGAAAAGGAAAGAGACCAGCTAAATATAACAGTAACATTTATACAGTCAGATACATGCATTTACATATTAAAAATGTTCTTTGATGTGGCCATAAAGAGTCCAAGAGACCGATTGTTTGAAATGATTTGTGGTAAGTGAGTCTACTTTTGTTACCATTTTAAAAAGAATACTTCGAAACACTTTTTTCCTTTTTTTTTTTTTTTGTTGCAAGTAAAGAAATTAAGTGGTATGGTACATCAATATGTGCCTGTGCGTGAAGCACAAGTTATTTTTTTAAGCGTTTCACCCCAAGTAAGGCGGGAAGCCACTAGCACGCAAGGGGTTACAGAGAGTTGGAGCTAGAGCAAATAGGAGTGATAGAGGAAAGGATGAAGAGAAGGATAGGGAATAGATCAAGGCATCTGGAGATGTCGATTGACATTACATTTGAATAGATGGAGATTATAGCTATCAGGGAAATAAGAAAAGGGGAGGGAGTTCCATAGGCGAGAGGTGCGAGACATTAAGCTATTGGAGTAGAAGAGGCGGCTACATCTAACAGTTTCAACAGTGAAAGGGTGAGAGTGGGATGCCAGGCTCGAAGGACGCTTGAATTCATGAAGTCTGGGAACCAGTGAAAACATCATCGGAGCAATTACCATGAAAGTATTTGTAAAAAAGACAGAGAGAGGCGACGGCACGTCTGTGAGAGAGCGACTGCAGACGAGATGCCAGATCAGGGCCAATTACGTTGCATATCCGTCTCTGGATTTTGTCAAGGACCTCGAGACAAACCGAAAAGTCGCTCTAGACCATGTATGACAGCAATATTCCATGCAAGGGCGATGAAACATCTTTATGACTGCTGACTGATTGCGTGCGATAACAGTAATTTTCAAACACAGTGAACCAAGACTCACTTTCGTTGTGGCGTTGTATGTAGAAAAAGCAGCGCTGACATACGCGTTATCATAGTAAGTGTGTTTATGTTGTCAATCGAGGCCTGGTCTCTTTCGCTGACTGTCTTTCGCCAACTGCCCTTCACTAGTTGCGTTGCTGCAGATCTGGTCACTGACTGTTGCTGACGAGCTGTTTTTAAGCGGCGGTTCAGCTCCTAATCGCTGTCTGAGTTTTGCGCGGGAGTGTACGGAGTAATTCTGACCTATTTCCAGGTCATTTGGTGCTCAACCGCGCGGTCGTAGTAGAAAACGCATTACGTCATATCCAGCCAGGTTTCAAAAGCTACTTATTTAATTTGGAGACGGGTTTGTACAGTTTTTTTTTTTAAGTTTTTCGTATCTACTGAATTTAGTAAGATTTATGCGTAGGCATCTCTTACTTGCCTGTGCTTCACTTATTGGCCGTAAAATATAGGAGTTTATATCCTATAAATTCATCGGACTGGGTTTGTTTACGTTGTTGTGACTACACATCCGCATGAACGAGAGACGCTGGTAGTTTCCATTTTTTCCCAATCCAGTCAAATTCATCTATATTCTTTTTGTTTCCGTCATCTTTGTTATTAAATATCCCACATTGTGATAACAGAAAATTTACCCATAATAGTAAAAGGTTGTAAGAACCTGAACATAAATTTACTGTGGCTGAACACGCAATTAAAGCGTTTTCTAGACATTTTCGTCCCCGTTAATTATTTTGTCTGTTAATTAGAGTAGAACTTTTTGTATGTCAAAATTGTGGTCCATTTCCTTACGGTGAATAACCAATACTTTTGGTGTGTTATTTTTGAAAATGTCTCTTATGGTCATAATTTTTATTTAATCTTCTTGATGTTTCTCCAATATGTTCTTTCTGGCAATCCTTGCAGGTGATAGAGTAAATTCCTTTTAGCATCTTGTTTTGTTTTGTATTAAGTCTTTTATTACTTTAGATGTTGTTGTGACAAATTTTATGTTGAGTTTAGATAAATTCTTTTCAACTGCAGTTAATATACCAGTATATATATATATATATATATATATATAGAGAGAGAGAGAGAGAGAAGATGTATGACAAATTGGAAAAAGGTTTTTGCGACGCATTTGATCCATTAAGACTTCAGCAAACTGGGTTTGTTTATGTTGTTGTCACTACACATGTGCATAAACGAGAGATGCTGGTAGTTTCAAAATTTTTGAAAGAATTTTTTTTTTGTTGCAATCTAGCGAAATTCATCTATATTTTTTTCTTTCCAGCATCTTTGTTATTAAATATCCCATCAAGAGAACGGAGAATAAGTTTTAAAAAGTGATAGCAGTAGAGAAGAAAACTGGATTCGGGAGCTCACAACAACAAGAGGTATCATCATTTTAACTTAGAGCCAAAGAGATCAATTAGAAAAGAGCCAGCTCAATCCATAAGACATTTAGCACGAGAGAGAGAGAAGTTTAAGCTATGACAGTCCAAAGAGCAATGAAAGAGACTTGAAAATTAAATCGTACGTGAAATCTGTGAGGCAACTTGTTGCTCTACAACAAAAAGTTACAGGGTTAGAATGGGAGAAGATAATCTTGAATAAGTTGGAAAATTATCCTGGAATAATTTGAACTTTATTTCAATCTTTCATCAGCTTCCGATTATCCTTAGCTATGTTTAATTAATGATGAACATGTCATTTTCGTTTATGATCGATTTCCTCACGATTCTTGTGTTAAGCTTGGAGAGTAATTATACATTCTTATCTTACTGAAATTCTCCGAGGTTTTTATAACACTATTGGACTCTACTTTAAAAAATATGTTTAATCATTTCTAAGATACAAAGGTTCAGAGCTTAATCTAACAAGTGGACAATTTTGCTATTACACCCGGTATATATATATATATATATATATATATATATATATATATATATATATATATATATATATATATATGAATCCCCTTCTTCTCCCCACCAGCTATGGGTAAATAACAGGACAGACCGCGCTCTAAATTATATGGCAACTGGTCTACCGCAGAAAAAATGGCAACCTACTGCGGGGAAAAATCTTCCTAGTCAGTCATGTATCAAAAGATCCATGATCGCCTAACCGTGTATCTCGCAGCATTGCATATATATATATATATATATATATATATATATATATATATATATATATATATATATATATATATATATATATGTCATACACATTATGAAAATGGACCAAAGTCCGACAATTATTTTAAGACGTTTTTAATGTTTATACTTTCTTTTATAGATACAAATATTTAAGGAAATGCTCTGTTTATAATAAACAGTATTAAACAACATTTACCGGTCTGAATGTCCGAGAAATTTTCATAGAAAATATTAGTCCCCGACAAGATATATATATATATATATATATATATATATATATATATATATATATATATATATGAGGTCTATCTGTTACACATTTCTTGTACATATAAGTATATATATATATTGGTTATTGTTATTGCTCTTGTCTCAATTTGACATCAAAATTTGAATTCTTGAATTTTCAATCTTAAATTTGTTTCTTTTCATATATGGAAGTATTTTTAATAAAATTTGTTATTTTTATACATGGGACCTTTTTTTATTTATGAGACTGGGATTTTGTCCACTTTTGAGATAAAAAGCTGGGATATCGTCCATTAGGTTTTGTTTGCTGGGGTTTTATCCTGTTACCAAGATTTCGAGTCAGCCAACGTCGTTGATTTAAAAGCCGCATAAAAAAATGTCAAAAGCAGTCAAGAAGAGAGCTCAAATTCAAATTGCTGTCGTCGGTGTGGAAAAGAGAAGTAAAGATCCTCTTCCCAACACGGTAGCCGGTTTGAAAATAAGGAATCATTCAATTTTTGAGCTTACTTTAATTTTGGAGATCAGAATGGGTATTTATTTAAAACCTGAGACTGGCAACCTTTTGAAACCTTTGCTATGAAGATGGTATTTATGCTGCTAGTTAACATTCTGTAATAAAATTGAACTGCAGCATGAATAAATTTCCTTTTGTCATATATTTCTGTTTTATTTTGGGACGTCATTAAAACTCAAAACGAAAGGAGGAACGCTTAAGGATCAAAGTGTGTGTTTAAAACAATAGGCTTCTTCAATTAAACGCAACGCAATTTTGAACGGACAGACATCATGGCAACACTTGTGTCAAAACACGAACAAGTGTCGACCAACTGACTGAGGCAATGATAAGATCTGGGAAAATATGTAAGCAATATCGCCTTGAGAACGTATCTGGCTACAGGCGCCTGATTTTATGTCAACTGGCGACGCGATGATCGACCAATCGGATATGACCAGCTGAATAAAATAAAGAAACGAACAAAGAAAGAAACGGATATATCTAGAAAGAAAGAAAGAAAGAAAGAAAGAAAGAAAGAAAGAAAGAAAGCAGGACACAGATTTGGGGTAACAAAAAAACGATGGGCAACCCAGGATCGGCTAAAGGTAAGCCAATTCCTACTTAACCATTACTATTGAGGAGTGAGTTCGATCCTTAATAGTTGCGGCGTATGTGTGTCGTTGTGCCAAATGAAAGTAAAGTTCGGAAATAACAATAAGGAACGAACTGAAGGAAGAAAAAAAATGGCTGACATAACGAAAGAAAAAATGGCTGACATAACGAAAGAAACAAAATGGCTGACATAACGAAAGAAAAAATAACTGACATAACGAATGAAAAAAATGGCGGACATAACGATTTAAAAAGACAAAACGGGAGAAAACAATAACGAGGGAAAACAATAATCAGAAAAAGAGGGAGGATTAAAATTATAACATTTATGCAAACTGCGCCTGCGCCAGCGCCTACGGTATACTCTCAGTTCTGTAAATGGCGCCTATTTGCATTTAAATTTTTGAAGATCAAAGTTGACTCGAAAGCAAGAAACCGGAAGAGAGTTTTTCAAGCGAAAATCGCAAGAAAAGAAACTTTTTACATAGAACTGACTGTTATATCTAGCAGTTGCAAACGGAAAATGATGAGACCTGGCCACCACTCTAGTAATGCGTTTAATTCTGTAAAGCAGAAAAGTTTGAAAAAGTTAAAAAAAATGAACATCACATGAAAATTGCTAACTGGAGATACCAAACTCAAACGAGTACTAAATTTTAAATATCTGGGAAGTACTTTAACGGAGGACTGAAAGTGCGACATTGAAATTTTAACGCGCATTGGGATAGCGAAGATGCCCCGTAAAAGCTAAGCAAAGTATTAAGAAACAAACATTTCGTGAGAAACAAAGAATATAGTACTGAACTGTTCCGTAATATTGGTCATGAAATCGAGTGTATGGGTCATTTCCTGTCAAGTTGTGGTCCACCTTAAACAAATTCATGCCATCGGCACTTTCTTCTACTCTGACTTTCTTTCATCTCCAACCAACTCTTGGAAAGCCAAACGGCAATAGGGAATGGATGACAGGAGCAGGTGTTAGTGAAACCGGAAGCTTCTAGTCCTGAACTTGCCCGTTGTCGGCGAATTTAGTCATCAACGCCATCATTGTAAAAGAAGCGATCAGCAAAGATGAAATTAAATTCTTCAGTACAAGATAAAGTCGCCGCCGGTGAGTCATCTTCGCTGATGTTCATGTTATTTCACGACAGTTTTATCTATGTTTCCAGCGTCATATTCGATGTCGTCTACAGAGTCGACCAGGTCCGTTTTTTCAAATAACTCAATTTCATTTCCATCCAGTGCGTTCGTGAGACAGAAATTGTCTTGAAAGATGGAGAAAATTGCTACTGTTCACTGGAAAGTGGTTTTGCTTATTATTTTGCCCCTATATAAGTTTTATTTTTGCCCCTATATAAGTTTTATTTTTGCCCCTATATAAGTTTTATTTTCGCTGCAAGTTTGTTGCATTTTTGTGTGAACGCATCTCTGTATTGGCTCTAAATATCGTGTAAATTTTCTGTTTCAAATTCTAATCTATATAAATTCGGCAAAGATCAGCGGACCTACCCTCAATAAGTCGTAGTGACAAAAGGACGTTTTTTACATGATACTGTTTTTTATTGTTTTATTGTTTCAAAAACGCATAGCTGGCAACATTATTTTCCCGAAAACATTATCTGAGGCCTTGCTGTTGGATGTAGTTTATCGCCATACCCAGGACGCGGATGTAGTTTATCGTCATACCCAGGACGTGAGTAAGATCTGGAAAAAACTAGGAGTTCACTATTTGCCCATAGCTGGGACCCTAACAGGTGCTACCACCCCGGCTCAAGGTGGACCTGGGAACATCAGCAATTAAGAGGTGGTTCCACGCTCCTCAAAACCTCCTGATCAGAGGCCTTGCTGTTGGATGCAGTTTAACGTCATACCCATGACGTGGATGCAGTTTAACGTCATACCCAGGACGGATACATTTTTTTTTTTTTGTTGTTGTTAAGAATTCAAGATTAAGTTTAGATGTTACAAATTCTCAAAAGAGTATTATATTTTGAACAAAATTTGGTAACATTATACACGAATAATCACAGTAATAAGTGTGAAAACTTGTCGGGACACAACGTTTATGACCCTGAACCAGATTTCACATTTCACGTCCATATAACCTCATTCTACCTTGAGTGACTCTTTGGCCTTATATTGGATGAACATATATTTAAAAAAAAAAAAAGAAAAACATGGCGCTGCCGTTACCAAATTGTAAAACAGAATCGACGAATCATATTAGAAACTCAGCTAAGTCGATTCACGTTCATGTTGCATTATTTCCTTTCAAAAAAAGGCATGAATTCACTCTTCTTTGTCCTATGTTCTCTCACTAGAGATCTTGAAAAAATATTTCTTCACTTGTATGTTACTATATTAGAAAAAAGGGTGTGAATGATAACTTGGGTAAACCGCTCTCCCATGACTATCTTGCGTGAACCGGTAGGCGAAGCGGAAAAAAAGGTTGTCACACCCATGGTTACCAGTGACAAGCGTCAGTAAGCATTTCAAATATATCTGATGAAATAATGAACGGAGTCAAATGGCAAACTGTTGTTATGGAACCCGTAATGTGGCAGAATTTTCGAGAAATTTAGCTTTATATCAAATTAAATTGTATTTAAGTAAAAAGGAAAATGTCGCAAGAACTGGTCGACAAACGATAATGCTACCCCAGTCCCATAATATCTGCTACATTTGCATAGTCATTTCATATACTAAACGTAACATATATTATGGGACAGATGTAGTTAAATAATATTATTCTGTCCCATAATAGCTGCAACATTTTATACATATTTCATAAACTAAACGTAACATATATTATGGGACAGACGTAATTAAATATTATTACTTCTGTCCTATAATATTTGTTACATTTTTATACACATTTCATACACTAAACGTAACATATATTATGGGACAGACGTAATAAATTAATATTACTTATGTCCCATAATATTTGTTACATTTTTATACACATTTCTTACACTAAACGTAAAGCATGCAGCTCTCAGCAAGGTCCATTCTTTTTCGAATCTCGTGGACTGGCGCTACAGAATCACAAAGAACTCTACCAAATAATAGGTACATCACTTGAGGACTTTCAACAGCAGCAACATTTAAAATGGATAGCACATGTAACTCGAAGTAAAAAAAGAACCTGACAATATATTGGCGTTCTACACTACTTCAAACAAAAGCCTAGTAAGGAAACGTCTATCAATAATAGAAAGAGCGATAACAGTTACTATTTTCCTGAGAAATTAATAGAAAGATTTTATAAATTTCAACTGATAGCAGTACTAGCTGCTTGAATAGAGAATGCTCCCGTATTAACATTAGTAATAAAATAAGTGCGAAAATAGTGCGTAATATTTTTACCAAAATACTTTTAGAGTGGTAATTATTAAAACAATTTATGAAACCAAAAAATGAATAAATTTATTGGATCATATAGGGACTATCATGTAGTCAGCAAAACTCCATGTATATTTAAAACTGAAAGTTAGCTTTTCTTGTATTTCTGATAATCCCTAATCAGCAGGAATCTAGTATGATTTTTTTTGTAATATAGTATTGAATATTGAGTTGATAAAAGAAAATAGAAATAATCAATGCTGTAGAGCCAATGTCTACTCACATCCCTAAGCGCATCCCTCCCCTTGTAATCTCATATTTCCTAAATTTTTATCCCATTTTAAAATATCATCTAGTCGCCATCAGTACTGGAAAGACTGATAACAGTTAGGGATTCGAGAAACCTATTTTGACTGAAAAATTGTTTTAATAGACAGATTTGACTGAATTTCAACTGATAGCAGCACTAACTGCTCAGTTGATTAATGTTGATTGTTTCCTTATAAGGAAACGGCTAATATTACCATTATCGTTAGAAATGAGAAGAACAGATAATACACTTTGATCCTAGTCCGATGGCCAATGAGTAAAGAAATGCGTCGCTCGAGGAACATTTGCTGCTCGGTTAAATAATGCCGAATGTTTCCTTATAAAGAAACGGCTAGTATTACCATTAAAATTAGAAATGAGGAGAACAGATACTACACTTTGATCCGATGGCCAATGAGTGAAGAAAAGCGTCACTCGAGGAATATTTACTGGTGGGTTAATGACTGCTGAATGTTTCCTTATAAAGAAACGGCTAATATTACCATTAGTATTATAAATAAGGAGAACAGGTACTACACTTTGATCCTAGCCCGATGGCAAATGAGTGAAGAAAAGCGTCACTCGAGGAATATTTACTGGTTGGTTAATGACTGCTGAATGTTTCCTTATAAAGAAACGGCTAATATTACCATTAGTATTATAAATAAGGAGAACAGGTACTACACTTTGATCCTAGCCCGATGGCCAATGAGTGAAGAAAAACGACACTTGAGAAACACTTGCTGTTCAGTCAATGAATGTCGAATGTTTCCTTATATGAAAACGGTGAATTACAATTATAAAAGAGGAGAACAGATACTACCCTTTGACCCAAGCCCGAGGTTCAAGGAGTGAAGAAAAGCGAAAGAGAGAGCGATAAGAAATTGTGATGTAAACTTCCTAAGTCAAAGGTGGACAAGAGGCAAGAACAAAGAGGAGCCGAGAATGAAGATTATAAAATGAAAAGAGGCGGCGGAATGTGCGTTAAATGGTTGGCATGTCACATATCATGAGTGTGTGCTCTGTGTGAATGTTCTTGCTCTTCATATAGAAATATCTCACGCTTTGAAAGCAAGGACCTTGAAATAATTATTCATCTCCACCCATAACCTCTTATGATCTCTCTCTTCCCTCCTCTTCATTCCATCTCTCGAACACACACACACACGTTATCACTTAATATCTCTCTGTTCCTATTCGCCTCTCTTTTTATATATCTAGATAGATAGATAGATAGATAGATAGATAGATAGATAGATAGATAGATAAAGAAAGAAAGAAAGAAAGAAAGAAAGAAAGAAAGTAAGAAAGATGAAAGAAATGAACAGAATGAGATCGATAGATAGATAGATAGATAGATAGATAGATAAATAGATAGATAGAGAAAGAAAGAAAGAAAGAAATGAACAGAATGAGATAGATAGATAGATAGATAGATAGATAGATAGATAGATAGATAGATAGAAAAGAAAGAAAGAAAGAAATGAACAGAATGAGATAGATAGATAGATAGATAGATAGATAGATAGATAAAGAAAGAAAAAAGTAAGAAAGATGAAAGAAATGAACAGAATGAGATAGATAGAT